CATCATTAGAGGCTTTCAAGAGCAGGTTGGATATATCAGGAATGGTTTTAGATGTAGTTGATCCTGCGTTGGAGCAGGGGGCAAATTTTAAATGCTCTTTTGAGGTCACTTCCCTTCCTGCTTTTGCCTTTTGATAAGAGGAGGCTTGGAGATGTCTGGAAGGTCTTGCACCCTCACAAAAAAGGCAGGAGCATGTTAACTCATTTTAAAAAAAAAATTTCAAAAAGTGTTGGTGAATGGAAACAAAAGAGTTCATAATGAACAACAAACCAAATGTGTTGGGTGGACCAAGAATCTCCATTCCCCCCATCTCTGCTGCCAGGGTGGGAGTAGTGTTAAAAGGTTTCATACATTTCATAGACGTTGGGGCTGAAAGGGACCCCGGATGATCATCGAGTCCAGCCTCTGCCCCAGGGGCAGGAAGTCAGCTGGGGTCATAGGATCCCAGCAAGGTAAGCATCCAAATTTCTCTTGAAGGCGTTCAATGTAGGTGCTTGAACTACCTCCGATGGCAGGCTATTTCAGGCCTTGGGGGCTCGGACAGTAAAAAAAATTCTTCCTTATGTCCAGCCTGAAACGGTCTTGCTGGAATTTATAACCATTCAACCTCGTCATCCCTTGGGTGCTCTGGTGAACGCCCCTGATAAACTTATAGGTGGCCATCAGATCGCCCCTGAGCCTGCGCTTTTCCAGGCTAAAGAGCCCCATAGCTCTCAGCCTGTCGTCATAAGGTCTGTTTTCCTGAGTTGAGTTTCAGTCTCCCTGGCTAGTCTTAAAATCTCCCAGCCTCAGTATGAAAAGCAAATAGGATCATTTGTTTTCTATCAATGCTTTAAAAAATTGGTGGTTTTAAAGTGCACTTGTACTGGTTAAAATGACAGCATAAAAATAGCTGCTGCTTATAGCTGTCCCTGGGTATATCTGTCAGAGCTGCTGACTTTGGTACATGTTTATTTGTTCCTCTCCTATAGCTTGTCTGGTTCTGTATAGTCCCCAAAGAAGCTGGAGTCTGTTCTTCTTTGTTCTGTCAGCAACAGAATTGACCCACAAGTTTCAGTCAGTTGCACCTGTACAAATCTGCTACTGCCTAATGACTGCACAAGTGTCATGAATGCAGAACCTCTTCCTGCTGATGTCCCAGAAGGGAAGATTCCAGCATGACTCTGCTCCCCTGCCTGGGCTGGCGAGACAATGTTGCTCTTCATTTGTAGAATGTGACAGTTCTCTATGGAGTGTTCAGGAAGGCAGAGCTGGGGTGCCCCTGCCCCTCCTGCCATTCTTACAGAGCAAAGCTGCACATGGACAATTCTCTGGGGTCATTTAGGATCACAGCAGCTCTCTGTCAGATTAGAACAAGGACCATACCTAGCTTCATACGGGCCAGGTTGAAAGAAGTTCAAACAACCTACCTATGAAATCAGTGGCAGCAACATAAGCAAGGTCAGAAACACATGTGCCAGGGGTTGACACACAGAGGCATTTTGCTCAGTGCTCCTGTGGCCCTGTTTGACAAAGCCATGGCTGGAATGATATACTTGAGGGTGGTCCTGCTTTGAGCAGGGGATTGGACCAGATGACCTTCTGAGGTCCCTTCCAACCCTAATTTTCTATAATTTTATGTTTATTCAGAAATTTACAGTATACATGAGAAAATCCCCTTGTTGAGCTGAATCAAACCAGCTGAGGTATTGAGACTGAGATCTTCTAGGCCAGTGATTCCCAGCTGGGGTGCCATGACTTGGGGTGCCTTGAGATACTTTCAAGGGGTGCAATGTTAGTGCTGTGAGGTGTGCAGTCACAATTCACAACATAAACTCAGAGATTTCAAATAGGAATTTATGGCTAAAAACAGTTTGACCTGTTGTGGGCTTTGAGATCTTTGCAACAGAAGAATGCTGTTACTTTTCTGTAGTCAAAAAAGAATGAAGAGATGGCATTTTCCAAGGGGTGCCTCAAGCTTATGGAGGGGTGCCTAGAGTTTAGAAAGTTTGAGAACCACAGCTCTAGACCGATTTAAAACTCCCACTTCTTTTGTTAAACCTTAAACTTTATCTATGACATCAGTAGTTTACAACGCTCCCAGGTTAAACTTGAACTTTTATGGTCCCTCTTAGTTCAGTGGTGCATTTTCATCAGAAAGGTTGTATCTGTGGAATGGTGGGTGGAAACTAAATGTGTAGACAAGGTGGTAAAGACCCAAGGTGTATTTCTTTATCTGTAACCATCCCTGCATCTGCACTTGATGAACAGCCATTGTGGGCTGTGTGGGTGCATTTAGACGCATCAGTCCCTTAAGGCTGTGCTGGGATTGTAACATTGGGTTATCTTTCTCTTCACAGGGCACCTTGCTATACCTGCCAACCATCCTGTCCCCTTCCCACCTACCCCATCCAGAATTTTGGGCTGACTTTCTTTAATTCCTCAAAAATCAGAAACTTGAATCCACTTGAACATCATTTTTGTTTTATTTGGGGGTTTTTTGTTTCATTTTTTTGTTTTTTTTTAACTTAAAGGAAAAATATATACAGGAGAGACAATATCGTAAAAACAGAGCTGCCTGCTCTCTGTACATTCACCTCCACAGCCAATGACACAGGGAGAGAAGAACTTAAAAAGCAAGGAAGAGAAAGTGGAAACAAACGCTGACTTGCAACTCTGAAATGAGGTTGTTATGATGTTTGGCTCTAGGGCAAAAGGAAAGCTGACCCACAGCAGAGCTGTTGAGGGACGACTGGCCAAACGGAGCACGATTTATTTATTACTATGAAAACCCAGACAAATGCCTGTATCCCAAGAGAGCACCTCCAAGGAGGGGCAGGACGAGCGAGCGCTGCAGCCAGGAGCCCCTCTCACTTTTGCACTGACTAAGGAATTTTTCCCTTTGAGGACACCAAACTGTAACTGGCAGAGTCTGACAAGAAGGAAAGGATCCCCACAGAGGAATGGGGCTGGTTCTCACGTTCAAGAGGCATTGTAGGTCTGTCTTTAAAGTGTTTACAAAAAAAATAGTGTTGACTGGTGTGTGTTTCCTTTTTTTGTTTTGGGGGTTTTTGGCTTTTTTCTTCCCCAGTGATGTTTACAGACTGACTGCTCCGACTCGGCTATAACCACTCAGTGACTGAAGGTAGCCAGATACCACACAACTTTCTTCCTGTTTCCCTTCTGCTGTCATGACTCCTAGTTGCCAAAAGACACCATTGTCCACTGCCCTTGTTTCTTTTGATCAGTCTCCACTTAACCTTCCTCTCCTTTTTTGTGTGTGTGTATAAGGGGGAAGTTGCATTACAGTTTGAAAGCTCTAAGATCACAAGTGTCCTGCAAAGACGCCTATCCTTTTTATTAGACCCATGTGGATTTTTTTTCCAGGAAAAAAATTTTTATTAAAGCAACACCCCCCACACGCATGCGCTGTGGAGGAGCGCAGAGGTGGGGGGAATGTTTTAGCCATTGCGTCCCCTGCAGGAAGGGTTTCTGTATTTATATATTAAAATTAAAACTTTTAAAAAAAAGTTCAAAGCTTGGGGGGAAAAGGTTTCTTCATTAGTCAAGGTGTTTTGATATGGTATTAAAATAATGTTCAATAAAATATTCACTGTTATTTTATTTCAATGGCACCTTCTTAGTGAAGTACTGCAGAGTGTGTGCTGGAGGCAACCTTTGCTCTGTGGCCAGGTAAGTGAGTCTAGAGGGATGGATGATCTTGCATGGGGATGGGCCGAGCTAACTTGAGCTGCCGAGTCACACGAGGGGCACTGCTCTTGCTGAGGAACTAGGTTGAATGTTTTCAAGGATGTAGTACAGTACAGTGCAGTGGGTGTGGAAGAGGACTGTATCTTCCCATTGCCCACACAAGCCACTACCTCTTCTGTGGTGACCTTGGTAGCAAACATGGAGGCCAGACAGGACTTGGCCTGGCAGGATTTACTCCCTTCTCAGAGTTTGGAACCAGGTCTCCGGCAGGGGGTTCTCCTCAGCCTTGCAGGGCTGGCTGTAGTGTCCATGTTATGCTCTTTGCTCCAAGCACTTCCTCCTGTTCTTTGCTTGTAACTCTTAGGATAGGCTTAGACCTGAGCTGCCCACACCCCAAACCTGCTGCTAGATCTCTCCTGTCATACGTGTGTACCCAAGCAGGAGCCCACTGGGCCTATGGCCAAGCAATGGGAAACCAATTGTGCCTTGTTTCCAACTATCGACTCTGCCCTTATTCCTCCTGTTGAGTCTGTCTGGCTTTGTTCCTTGGGCTAGAGCTAAGGCCAAAAGGAAAAGACCTGCTGCCTGGCCATCTGGAAAGTGACAGAAATCAATGTCTGCTCTAGCTTGGGTTGAGAGAAACCCAAGTTCTTCCCTAGCTGCACGGAGCTTCCAGCTATTTTGGGTTCTCCCTTCCATTCTGCCCCATCCCACACTGGATCTCCAGCTGCTTTAGCAAGACTGTGCCCCCCTGCAGAATGGAGACTAGAGGAAGACTGGAATCTCCGTGAAGATATGGCACCTGTGCATCACTGTTAGAGCCACAACTTTCTGATGACCACTTGGTGGGTGTCCCCCTCTAGATTCCCACTGGTCAAGGAGGGTGGGGGAGGCTGAGTGATTGTGCCTACACAGATCCTCTCCCAGATCTTTCTCAAGGACGACAGACTGATCCAGGTGAGTGCTACAGCCACTGGCTTCTGGGACACAGCTGAAATCGTGTCCTTTGCATGTGGGCCTAACCGTCATCATCAGCCAAGGCTTCATAGGCTGCAGTTCTAGACTCTTACTGATGCCCACTTACACATTGTCTAGCCTTCTCTGCCTGTCAGTCCCACAGCACTTGATAGAGCTGCCTTGGCCCCATCATCTGGCATTTGTTGAACCTAGTAGGTCCCCCTTAGGAGCACTGCTGTTCTTGACCCAAGGGGCCACTTTGACTCTGAGCCAGTGCCTGTTGATTTCTGTTAAATAGCCAGCCCAGCCTGCAGGGAAACCAGGGGAAGAGTAAGAGACTGCACTTCAACCTGGCTGCTCCAGAGCAATATCCTACAGAGCCTGTTCTGCTCTTGCTGGCAGGGATCTGTTTGCAGTCATTGCTACAGCCCCAAATTATATGTAATTGCCTTCCTCCAACTCTGAGCGCTCTCAACTGAGTGCCTGTCCTGGCACCTAGCATGAATGGAGTCATGTTAACCATGTGGGTCCTTTCCTTGTACTGGCCATGCCTGTCTTCTTTCGATGACTCCATGTGCTCTTGTTCAGTCCCTCCTGTCCTGCCCCTGGCTCTCACTGTGGAGAAGTGGGTACAGAGACAATGTCTAAATGACACCTATCCTGTGAGCTGCAGTTGCTCTTCAGCCCTGTCTCTAGAGGCAGACTCCAGGGGTGAAAATCCTAGTACAGCTCAGGGCTGGGGCCCTCCTGCCTTAGAAAGGGACTGTATGGTGCTCCTGTGATGACAGTAGCTCAAGAGCTGACCCTATCCTGGCAACCCATCCTTGCTAGCATTGCTCTGTTTGGTGAGTCTCAGGGCCACAGGTGCCGCAGTCTTGCCAGACTGGATACTGGAGCTGGGAGGAGGCATGCTCAGCCCCTCCTCCTCTTGGGCTGGAGTGCTCTGTGCCTCACTGGCAGGGGGAGGCACACTGGCAGCAGGTGTGCTGGCACCTGTGCTGTGCTGGGGTTTAACTGTTCCCACCTCTGGAGGGCTGTCAGGATAGGAGCTCAGCACTCCTTGTCCCGGTTCTGTTGGGGCAAAGCTGGGGGAGGAATGGGTGCTACCCCCTGGGGGTGGTGGCAGGTGCTGTGATTGTGATGTGGGTGCCGCTCATGCCTGGTACTGCCCATGGTGCTGGAAGCAGTGACCCACAAGCATGTGCACAGTGAACTGTGTGCAGGGCCCAGCCAAATGGCTGGTATATGGCAGAGCTGGCTCCAGCTCTGCCTAGCATCTTCCTCTGTTTACTGACTGAGCACCTTTGCTGCTGCAAGGGAGATCCCCAGCAAGTCATGGGCTGTCTGTTGCTAAGGCAGATTCTTAGCCCTTTGGGGGCTATGCAGAAGGCCGAGTCTAAGTATACACATCCCTGGCCTGTGACTTCCTCCTTCCCACAGAGCAGCTTTGGCAGAGAAGCTTTGGCTCCTGGAAAGGAGCCACCAGTCCCAGGCTGCAGCTGTTGGGGCTGGGAGAGGGGAGGAAATGCACCTTTAGAGACTGGCACTCTGGATGCTGCAGAGTAATCTGTGCTGGGTGAACACCTTTTGGCTGAGCTCCTTATGCTGAGCTGCTTCTACCTCCCCCTCCCCACACTTAACTCAGCCTTGATCCTGTGCTTGGTGGAGCTTTTGCTTTCTTCCTTTGACCTCCTTCCTGGCCTGACATAGGAGCATTCTGGAGGTGAAGGCCCTGAGCTGTCCAGCCTCTACATGCATAGTGAGGCCACGCAGGGCAGGTCTGTCCCTGTACAAATAGAGCCATGGGCCAAGGCAGAGCCGGGGCACTACGTGGGTGGAAGGCATCAGTCTTGCTGTGCTGGAGCAGGGCCCCACTGGCAGAGTTAGTCCATGGTTGGCATCATGACCCTGAGACTCACCAAGCAGAGCAGCACCTGCCTGCCTGAGGCCTGCTACCATGGCTCCCATGGGATGTTGAGTGCAATGCATGGGACAAAGGCTTGGTGTCATTCAACTTCTGCACTCCTTCCCCTTCCCCCGACCACTGGCCTGTGGCAGCAGCCTCTTGGCCCGTTTGTGTTAGGCTGCCCTTTCCCATGCTCCCCTTAAATGTGGAGCAACCTCCCAGCCAGTGAAGCCCTCCCAAAGCTAAGTACAGCAGAGCTCATGCTCACATGGACATGGTTGTGCAGCCTGCCATGCCCAAGTCCTCACTATTTGCCCCAGGCTGGGGGTCTGAAAACTGCTGGGGCAGAGCTTTTCTAGCTACAACCCTTTGAGGGGCTTGCTAGGCTTTTGATCCTGGGGGTGGGAGGATGTCTGTCTTACAGCACTGTGGGCTCTTGTAGAATAGGAGACAATACTTGGAACAATGGGGCCCTTTCAGGGAAAGAGCAGGGCAGGAGCAAGTGTGGGGGTGTGCTTAAAGGGCCCAGAGTTTGTGAGTGAATGTAGCTGGGAGCTTGGCTGCTTTCTCTCTGCCGCCTTAGCCGTACTTCGGTGGTTCATAGACCCCTGGGGAAGTCTCCAAAGGCAGCCAGGGGGCAATTTGTGAAACAGAAAAATGTTAGATTGCAGTGGTTCTCAACTAGGGTGATGCAAACATGATGCATAAGATAAACCCAGAGATTTCAAATAGGAATCCACAGTGTTAAAAGCTTTCTGGCCTGTTGTGGACTTCCTGAGCTCTTTACAATAGAAAAATGACTGTTGTTTTTGCATAGTCAAAATTGAGTGCAAACTAAGAGCTTACACTTTCCAAGGGGTGTCTTGAGTCCTAAAAGGTTGAGAACCACCTTGTGAGAGTCTAAAGTTAGGGTACTGAACCGATAGGGCAGGAAGCTCTACAAGAGTGTTTCACTAGCTATTTCAGTGAAAATGAGTGTGTCAAAAGAAGGAAACTGGCTGTGCTGGGGGAGTGACTGGAGATGAAGCTATGGACTTCACGAGACTAATTTAAGGCCAAGAAATACTTGAGAGAGGACGGGCACCTGAGGCAAAGAAGTGTCCAACGGGGCTTGTTGAGCTGTGTGGCATTTGTGTGCTGGCTGAAGTAGAGTATTTCGAATCGTTGCAAAGCCGGCAGGTCTGCTTCCCCATGTCCGATGTTTAAAATACTCCTGAAGGGGTGGGTCCCGCTGGTCGCTGTCGTCACTGTTGCATTCGCTGCTGGGGCAAGGGACGACCAGCACCAGAAGACATCAATTAAAACAGTCTGGATCGGGTAACGTGTTGGCGCCTGGCGCTCGATGTTGTTGACAGTTGTCTAAAAGGCTAAAAGCTTAAAAGTGTAAAAAGCTAAAAGCCTAAAACCGCCATGGGGCTGCCACTGGGTAGGGTGACCAGTGCCTTAAAAACACCAATAAATTACGGGGGACAACAAAAGAGAAAACAGGGTGTGCCTGTGCGGGTCATAGGGTCAAAACCAGCGCTCGCCTGGGGGACACCCCATGTCACCGGCTCCGCACACCTCAAGAAGGCTGGAGCTCTGGGAACAGGGTACTTTGGGGGTCAGCACTGGTCCTGGGGGCCTAAGCCAGCTAGACATTGGGGTCCCACTTCCATGAAGGAGTACCAGAGATCTGTGGTATTGTGGGTGGATCAAGAGCTGGTTGCCAGAGCCTGCTGAGACCCAAGAAAGCTGATCACCCCTGGGACAGCATGTGTGGCCTAAGCACAGTATCTTGGTGAGTGTCCAGCAGGGTGTGCTGTGACAATACCAAAGGGACCTTGCTGCCTCATTTCCCCCCTGCCTCGTGGGGGTGCTGCATCAAGGTCCTAGCCCCAGGCAAAGGGAGCATCTGCTCTGCTCCTCCTCCCCGTACTGGTCACCCTGAGCTGTACTGGGGACTCTTCTTGGCCCCCCTAATACAGATCATAATGCCTGTGTTGTACAGAGCTGGAGCTCCCCAAAAGGAGACCATGGCCTTGGTAGCACTGCATGCTAGAAATAAGTC